GGTTGATAAATATTTTACATATTTTTATTTTACAGGGTTGATAAATCCAAAGAATTGGCTAGTAGTAAATTGATTAAAAAAACTTCTGATAAATACGCAAAGAAATTGTTTGCTAAGTTTGATATAAATCTTCAAGTATCATCTATGCCCAATTCAAAAATGATGGGTTCATCAAAACAGCCTCACTATTCCATTAACTGATTTTATAAGCAATATTATGTATATTAACTTAAAAAGTATACTAATAAAATAGACAAAAGCAGATTCTGTCAATTAGTGTTGCACTTATGATTTTGTTTGGAAAATGGGCTCAGGTGTTAAAGCCATGGGAAAGCCTTGAATGTAAATACATATGAATTTTGCCACAGCTATTTTCCTATAGCCATTTTGATACAAATGTTTTGACACTTTCTTTCTTATCTATGTCATCATTTTGATGAAATGAAATAAAACCAACAAAAATTTAACTTTCAGTTTTTAAAATACTCCATCTCTAAGCTTTATCTCAGGTTAAGGTAAGTATGCCTATTTTGCATATTAAATAGATATTAAGATGTTGATTCTTTTTAAATTTTGGAGCAGGTCAAAGTGGTCTGCTTCATATAACACTTTGGCATCTGGCCTCTAACATGCAGACTATTGGGAGCCACTGAAAGTTTTTAATCAGGTGAAAAACATAATCAGATCTGTGTTTTAAGATCACTTTTGTAGAAACGTGGCTAGATCAGAAGGGAAATTGGAGGTGGAGAGAACAAGTAAAAGATCATTGCTGTACCCATCTCTTGCCTGAACTAGGATATCAGCAGTAGAAACACAAAAGACTGATTTAAGAACTATTCAGAAGCAGAATTAATCATTCTTGCGAAAAATTTGGATTTTGGATAACGGGATTAGGAAGAGTTGAAGACGCCCTTGAGGGTTCCAGCTCCAGCAACTGGATGATAACAAGAAATAAGAGACACATAGAAAGTGCTCCACACCTGGAAAATAACTAAATAAATCAGACAAAAACTCTTGCTTCTCACATCAGATGTTTAACAAAAGCTTAATTTGAATTAACTCCTTCCACCAACCCAAGCCACAACAACAATAAAAAGTTACAAACACACAAGTCTTTAAAAAGTTAATTTGGTCAATAAAAAGGATAATGGGTTCAGTTTCAAGATATCCAGTAGGCAGCTGAAAATATAAGACTATGGTAGGCAGAGGCACTATCTCCACTCCTTCCCTAATGGGGTGGAGATCCCATGAGTAGTCACCAAGGGGATGGATGTGATTATAATTATCCAGGGAGAACGCACAGAGCAGCAGCACAACTGAGGACACAGCCTAGACAAGCCGATATTGAAAGGGCAGATGGAAGAAGAGGAGTCAGCTGGGATTAAAACTGACTGAAACGGATGTAAAGCAAAGGCAGAAGTGATCTGATTTGGCTAAAGCAAAGGGTCAACATATGAGACAGAGAGGAATTCCATAAAGGATCCACACTCTGGATATCAATCAGGTTGAGGTTAGGAATTTTGTGCACCAAAGATTTTCAAACGTCTGGAGGGCTGGAAGGCTCATAATCAAACTCTCCCCACTTGCCCCCAACCTCCAGGTGCTGGCATTCATCATGGGGCACAGTCTGAAAATCATTCCTATAGATAGTTATGGAGAGTTTCTGAACAGGAATTAACATGAATGGGGTGGCATTAGGAAGATTAATTGGATATCCATGTGTAGAATGAATTAGAAAAGAAAAAAAAACAGATTTTGGTAGCAACTCTGGTGTCAATTTCAGAGGTAGCATTTACAACCTACATTAAGATGTCGCAGTTAGCACAAAAAAGCTGCTTAAACAGGGCTTTGCCAGTTTAAGGAGTTGGGCATTTTTGGTGGGAATTGAGACCCTTTTGGGAGTGTTTATATGGGGGGAGTGCAATGGAGGCACTGGTTTAATGATGGATTAATTTGGCAGTGGTAAACAGGACTGGATGGTAGGTAAGACTGAAGGTAGAGAGACAACTAATTTTTTGTAGCTGCACAAGTGTGAAGTGATGAGAATCCGAAATATAGTTTCACACAGACATTCCTCGGCAATATTCCACTGTCTCTTCCAGAATGGTGCTTCCAGTTTCTGCCTGCCTCAGCTTCTGGTCACGTGGTCCCAAGAGGTGCCCGGACAAGAGGTGCCTTGACCCATCTAGGTCAAGATTCCCTAGCTAGCACTCTCTATGCCCTGGTCTAGGCTGGCGTTCTACAAGGCCTGTCCCTCCCATCCACCCCCAATTCCACCACTTTCCTTTGTTTGCCTTCACCTCTCTTCTACCTCTCAGGTGAAACACAATATTTGGATGCTGTCAAAGTCATATACTATTTGTAGGTCTCATTTTCATTTTCATTCTTCTATTCTCACCATATCTGACAAAACAGATGGAATGCTGGCCCAGGAGCAAGAACTTGGTTTTAAACCTAGCTCTACTACTGAGTTGTGTGGTCCTGGGCATGTCTTTTAATCTTTTCCAGCCTAGACTTTCTTACCTTGAAAATAGGGACTATCAATTAGATTAATGATAGTTAACTTGGAGAAGCTGATGAAAGCTATGGACCCCTTTCTCAGGAGATTCACATCTGCACATACAAAGTCTACAAACTTGAGGAGATTCATAAATCTCCTTCAAGCCCCTGTAAACACTTCAAGGCAGTGTTCTTAAAATATGTGTACCAGGATCACCTGAAGTGCTTGCTAAAAATGCAACCCCAGTGGGCCGGCCCAGTGGCATAGCGGTTACGTTCACAAGCCTCGCTTCAGTGGCCTGGCATTCACAGGTTTGGATCCCGAGTGCCGACCTACGCACCGCTTCTCAAGCCATGCTGTGACAGCACCCCGCATATAAAATAGAGGAAGATGGGCACAGATGTTAGCTCAAGGCCAATCTTCCTCAACAAAAAGAGGAAGGTTGGCAACAGATGTTGACTCAGAGCCAATCTCCCTCACACACACACAAAAAAAATGCAACCCCAAACTTATCCCAAGAGATTTTGATTCACTATATCTGGGGTATAGGCCCAGTAATTTACATTTTTCACAAAGTACTCCAGGTGATTCTGATGCAGGTGGCCCATGCTGCACCATTATATCTACAGAAACAAAGTAGTTAAGGCATCCTTGCATCTCAAGTTGAAAACTTTTAGAACAGATGCTCACTAAAATTCATTCTAGATCTAAAGTTCTGCCTCTATCTTTGTGGGTCTGTATCATTGGGATAGGAATAACAAAAATTAACTTCCAGATCTTAAGTCTGAATGACTGCTGGTACCATTAGCACAAAGAGAAGAATGTGAGTTGTCCCCTTTGGGGAAATTGGTACTAAGTGTATTTGTTTGAAAAGGGGAAGAAAAAGTGTGACGAATATTTACAATTTGTTAATTAGTTACTAAATGTTTACAAAATCAAAACTAAACAAAATAAAATCCCAAATCTGCAACCTACAACTTTCTAAAGAAATGTAGGGATAGGTCATTTCAAAAAGGGCTTGCGTGAACCAATCACTGAAGTTCTCCACAGGATGTAACAGTTACTCAACAGTGCTATGTTTTCCTGAGGAGATATAAGATTTAGCCACTTATATTTATGATGGGTGATGTGGGAAAGTAAATAAAATGTCTCTCAAGTTTCAAAAAAAAAAAAAAAAAGAAATGTAGGACTAAGCGAGTCTCTGTGAGCTGAAACTCTTATTAAATCAAAGCTACCACACACAGCAACACAAATGGTTTAGAAGTATTTGCAAAATAACAGGACATGAAACCTATAGAGAAACAACTCGAACTACCTCAGTCTAATAAATCCCGGCTTATTTACTGGTAATTATGTACTTCTATTAATACAGAAGCAGCGAGGATGAACTGTTAATTTAGGTCTTATTAAGCACCCACAACCTCTGTGGCAGTCTGCATAAAGCATTTTACTTAATCCTCTGTGAGGGAAGTATCATTTGCACTGTATAAAGAAAGAAAGTAACACCTCAAAGATTCACAGCTAGTTAAGTAGCCCGGTCTGACCAAAACCGGCTTCCTAACGCGATTACGTTCATTGTTATGAGAATTGCCCGTCGCCCTTCTATCATCTCCACCCCATCCACACGTGTCAATTTCCACAGGCGTCCTCCAACACCTTTTAACCATCCCAGAAATGACGTGCGTTTCTTCAGTAGATGCACCAGTCCTCGTTCCTTGCCTCAGTTTCCCCAGCCATGGCTACAGAACCGGGAAGGATGGGAGGACAGTAAAGGAGGGGGTGCGCCTCGCCCCGGCCTGAAGCCACAGAGCTCCGCCCTTGGCTGGCCTCGGAGCAGAGCAGTGGAGCAGAAACCCGGCTCCCTCCTCACCCTTCCCCGGGGACCGTCTCCCGGGCGCTAGCAAAGACGAAACCAGGCTGCGGCGAGGGCTCGCAGCCAGGCCTGCACCGGGTTTTCGACGGCAACGGGTAAAATTTCCTACAGCGGTCCTGCGCCTTGCAAGTTCTCGCCGCAACTTGCAATCTAGAGGCCAGGTGTGACAGCGGGACGTGAGAGGAAGCGACAGTAATGTTTACCTCATCCTGCTCGGGCCTGGCCGCTTCCGGCCTTTCCGGGTCACCCATCGCGCAGACTCCGCCAGAGCTACGGGAGCTGAGGGAACCGAGGGCCGCAGGCCACCTCCAACTAGGACAAGACCCAGGTGGCCCACGGGTCCGCTGAGTCCGCCCCGCCCCCAGCTGCGGAGACCCCTCCTACTCCGGCCAGGCCCGCTTTCTCGCCTGCCCATTGGGGGACTCGCCCTGCGCTGGCCTGGCCCCGCCTCCCCCGCCTCAGGGCCCTGCCTATTCCAGCAGGCCCCGCCCCACAGCGCCGGCACCGCCCCCCACCTGCCCAGTGAGGGACTCTCCCTGCGCCTGCCGACTCCGCCTCCCTCAGGGACCCGCCCACTCCAGCAGGTCCCGCCCCGCCGCGCCGACTCCGCCTCCCGCCTGCCCCCTGAGGAGCTCGCGGAGGGCCTGCGGGACCGCGCCTCCCCGCCCGCGGTCTGAGGGACTAAGCCTGTGGCTCTCAGCCCCGCCCGCCTCGCCCACGCCGGGCTCTACTCACGTGGTACGGGAGGTGCCTGGACATGCCCGGTCGCCTCCCCAGGTCGACGTTGCCCAGCTAGCTCTCGCCGTGCCTCGGGAACACGGTATGTCGCGCTAACTCGGCCTGTCCTGAGAGACTGCCAGGTGGCGGTGGGACCACCCACAGGATGAGATACGAGCGCTATTCGAGTGTGAAGTGGTGGTGGCGAAAAGCCACATTATTGGTGAAAAAAGAAAGTCGCACGGTTAAAAAATATGAGAAAAGGCTGCCTTGTTTTGTATTTAAGCAACCGAAACGAAGTGGTTGAAGGGAAAGTGTGCCTGTGAATGGGGGAGATGGGCTTGAGAGTGAGAAGGAGAGGGGAAAATGACTCAAGTCAGGAAACTATTTTGAAAGTTCTGTGAAATTGTTTCAACAAGCTAAGCTTTTAGTAATATTTATTGAGCTCTTACAGAGTGTCGGGCGCTACACTAAGCACCTTCTGTCAATTAAGTCATTGCATCTTCAGGACATCTCTGTGAGGCAGAGGGAGCAGTGTCCCTCTTGTTGCAGAGGAAGAAATTCAGTCTTGGGATAAAGAACTCAGATGATCCAGCTACAAAGTTGTGGACTCCACACTCTCCTGCCACATGTGCTTTTCAAGGCCCAAAGTTAACGTAGTGGAGAGAGGAGATACTCCCAGGTCATGGCAGTAGGCAGTGGCTACTGATGGTCATGATAATTTGGTTAAATTACTAATAGCAGTCTCTCAGGGGAACTATCTAAAGATAACTACAACAGAAAGAAAAAATAGTCTGGTGTAACAAATAAAAATGAGGTGACAGAGAGATTTGTTTAAGTTGCTTGAAGCTGAAATACGGAGGGAACCTTGTCATGCTTTGAACGACATGCACCTGTTTTGTGGATAACTCACTGTGTGAAGTATGGTAAAATAGGATAGAAAATTAAGCTTTGAAAATGACTGAAAGCTCTTTCTAAAACCTGGCCTAGAGTGGAGGATGAGAGTTATCCTTTCTTAGGCAACTACTAGTGGTCAAGTGCTGAGTAAAATTTTATACATATATCAACTTTACATAATAGTTAAATTCTATGAGGAAACAGTCTTGAAGTTAGATGATTTATCATAGGCCACATGGCAAATAAACTAAGAGCAAAGATTCTATCATTTAATTAAAATCATCGAACAACCTGTCTGCTGGATGTCAGGCATCATATTCGGTATTGAAGATACAAAAATGAATAAGCATAGTGAAAAAGAACGTGGATCCTGGAGCCATATCGTTATGGGCATGAATTCTAGCTCCCCCACTTATTAGCTGTGTTACCTTGGACCAGATACTTAGCCTCTTTGAGACTCAGTTTCCTCATCTGCAAGATAAGAATAATAATTCCTTCCTTATAAGATTGTGGTGTGGTTTAATATTTTACTTGTGAGGTAATTATTGGGAAATTACAATGGTAGCTTCCAAGTACACTACTCACTGGGCCATCCTAGAGATCGTGGAACAGAAAGGCTCAGATCAAAGTGAGTTGCTTGAAGCACACGGTTTATTAAATTAATTTAAAACACATCAAGGGGAAATTGATGGGGTAGCTGACATATTTAAGATAGAGTGTGGGGAGGGGAGGGAATAGAAGGACCATACTATCCAAATCTTAATGTTACTAAGTGTTCAAATATCCTGTCTTTGCTGCATCAGCCTTCCTGGCTGGTGGTGTAGTTAGGAAGACCAGAGTTGAAGACGAACAAGGGGTCTTAGCAGACAGAAGGTGGAGCCAACACACATTTGCTCCTTTGGAGAGATGCAGGAGCAAGTAGGCCTTGTCATAGCTGTAACTTGCCATAAATTAGCCTGCTGAGCAGCTATGAGTTTTATCTGTATTTTTTGGGAAGAGCACGTGTGGGGCCAGAATGGATGTCACCAATTGGTGGCTGATTTAGGTATGACACAGTTGGCAATCTAGAGGTGACATCCTTACCTCATGAATATTGAAGATTTACTTGGTCTTTCTAGCCCTTTCTATCTGTGACATTTGTTCCATTATTTTTATCTATGTTCAACACAAATATGTTCCATGTATTCTACCTTTAACATGCCTCACAGGTTAATAACTTATTTACTGTTTATACTTAACACGTGTTATGAATTTCCTTATGTCTTACAAGCTCTCTGCTCCCATACTTAGTTTCTTTCAGTTTTTATAGCAGAATCGAATAATCTTAAGTAATATAGCAAAAACACATTACAGTGCTTATAACAGTGCATAGTAGGAAATATGTATTTGTTTCCCTCAAAATGTTTAAAGTTAATAGGGAGAGCAAATGTAAAAAATTAAATGTGTAACTGAAAGATCTGTCAGTGTGAGAGGATTCTACAACTTCATATAGCTGCTGTGGATTTTATGTTTTCCAAAAATAGCCACAACTATATTTCTGGTCCCATATGCTGTTCCAGAACCTTGATGCTCCTCTCATCAAAAGGTGGAGTCTAATTCCCCTTCTGCTATCCTCTGAATGTTTCTGTCCCCCAAAATTCATATGTTGAAAACCTAATGCCCAAGGTGATGGTGTTAGGAGGTAGCACCTTTGGGAGTTGAAATAGGTCATGACAGTGGAGCCTTCTTGAAAGGGATAGTGCCCTTATATGGTATTGTTTGGGTTTTTGCTATTGAGTTGTATGAGTTCTTAATATATTTTAGATATTAACCCCTTATCGGGTATATGATTTGAAAATATTTTCTACCATTCAGTAGCTTGCCTTTTCATTTTGTTGATAGATTCCTTTGCTGTGCAGAAGCTTTTTAGTTTGGTGTAGTCCCACTCGTTTATTTTTGCTTTAGTTGCCTTTGCTTTTGGTGTCAGATCCAAAAAGTCATTGCAAAGGCTGATGTTAAGGAGCCTTTCTTTTAGGAGTTTTATGGTTTCAGGTCTTACATTCAAGTCTTTAATCCATTTTGAAATGATTTTTGCGTGTGGTGCAAGATAGTGGTGCAGTTTCATTCTTTTGAATGTGGCTGTCCAGTTTTCCCAGCACCCTTTATTGAAGAGGCTCTCCTTTCCCCGTTGTATATTCTTGGCTCCTTTGTTGTAAATTAATTGACCAATTATGCATGGGTTTATTTCTGGGCTCTCTATTCTGTTCCATTGATGTATATGTCTGTTTTTATGCCAGTACCATCCTGTTTTTATTACTATAGCTTTGTAATATAGTTTGATATCAGGAAGCATGATGCCTCCAGCTTTGTTCTTCTTTCTCAAGATTGCTTTGGGTGTTTGGGGTCTTTTGTGGTCCCATACAAATTTTAGGATTGTTTGTTCTGTTTCTTTGAAAAATGCCATTGGAATTTTGATAGAGATTGCGTTGAATCTGTAGATTGATTTGGGTAGTATGAACATTTTAACAATATTAATTCTTCCTATCCATGAGCACGGAGTATCCTTCCACTTATTTGTGTCTTCTTCAGTTTCTTTCATTAACATCTAATAGTTTTCATTGTATAGGTGTTTCATCTCCTTGGCTAATATTATTGCTAGATATTGTTTTCTTTTTGATGCAATTGTAAACAGGATTGTTTTCTTAATTTCTCTTTCTGATAGTTCATTATTAGTGTATACAAACCTAACAGATTTTTGTATATTGAATTTATATCCTGCAGCTTTACTGAACTTGTTTGTTCTCACAGTGTTTTGGTGGAGTCCTTAGGATTTCCTGTATTTAATATGTCATCTGCAAATAGTGACAGTTTTACTTCTTCTTTTTGAATTGGATGCCTTTTATTTCTTTTTCTTGCCTGAGTACTCTGGCTAGGACTTCCAATGCTATGTTGAATAAAAGCAGGAGTAGGCATCCTTGTCTTGTTCCTGATCTTAGAGGAAAAGCTATCAGCTTTTCACTGTTGAGTATGATGTTAGCTGTGGGCTTATCATATATGACCTTTATTATGTTGAGGTGCATTCCCTCTATACCCACTTTGTTGAGAGTTTTTATCATAAATGGATGTTGAATTTTGTCAAATTCTTTTTCTGCATCTATTGAGATGATCATATGATTTTTATTCTTAATTGTGCTAAAGTGGTATGTCACACTGATTGATTTGCAGATCTTGAACCATCCTTGCATGCCTGGAATAAATCTCACTTGATCATGGTGTATGATCCTTTTAATGTTTTGTTGAATTTGGTTTGCTAATATTTGTTGAGGATTTTTGTATCTGTGTTCATCAGAGATATTGGCCTATAATTTTCTTTTCTTGTGGTGGTCTTGTCTGGTTTTGGCATCAGGGTAATGCTGGCCTTGTAAAGTGGAAGTGTTCCCTCCTCTTCTATTTTTGGAAGAGTTTGAGAAGGATTGATATTAATTCTTCTTGGAATGTTTGGTAGAATTCACCAGTGAAGCCATCCGGTCCTGGACTTTTGTTTTTGGGGAGGTTTTTGATTACTGATTCAATCTCCTTACTAGTAATCAGTCTGTTCAAGTTTTCTATTTCATCATGATTCAGTTTTGGTAGATTTTATGTTTCTAGTAATTTATCCAGTTCTTCTAGATTGTCAAATTTGTTGGCATATAACTGTTCATAGTAGTCTCTTATGGTCCTTTGTATTTCTGTGGTTATCAGTTGTAATGCCTCCTCTTTCATTTCTGATTTTACTTG